GGCCGGCCCTCCTGCTCCGCGGGGCTGGGCTGGCCCTTCTTTTTCTTCCTGCCTTTGGTGAAGATGCTGAGCATGCCGGCCAGGCCTTTGGGCTTCTTCTTCCCCGAAGGCTCTTCCCCTGCCCTCTCCGGCGCCGCCTCGGCCTCCAGGGCTGGCACCAGGTCCTCCGAGGAGGCCTCGGACGCGGAGGCCTCGGACTCCGCCTCTGAGGTGGAGCGAAACTTCAGGGGGCTTCCCTCGGGGAAGTCAAGGGCCCCCAGCGGCCTCGGCTGCTGGCCCCCAAGGCTCTCGAAGGTCATTATCTTCAGCATCGCCCTGGCTGAGGCCTGCGGGTGGGCAAGGGGAGGCGGGTGCCTGGTCGGGTCACAGCTCACAGCACACAGCAGGCGGGCCTGGTGGCAGCTCTGAGTGCGCTTGACCACTTGTCACCCTCAGGATCACCAGGGCTCTGGCCTTCTGCTGACCCACAGGGGCACCAAGGACTCAGCTCCCTACCCCCCTCTCTCCCTGGACACTGGTTGCTCAGCACCCGCAGTTCCTGTTCCCCTCCGGCCCCTCCCAGCATCACCAGAGCAGGGAAGCAGCTGAGGAAGCCACACCTCCCAGATGGAGGGGCCTCGGCTGCGTTTTGGCAAATGTTTCTTTGACAACCCACCCTCTGGGCAGGGGGCTGCAGGGCCCCCTGGATCCCGTGAGGCCCTGGGCAAGGGACAGAGCGTGGGCTGCGTCCCATTGCGCGGAGCAGGAACAGAGGTCCAGAAAGGCACGGAGAACCGAAGGCTGGCGGAGGCAGAGAGCAGCCCAGTCCCACCCTGCATCTCGCCCAGCTCTTCCCTGGTCTTGTCTGGCTGCTGGGACCACGAGGCAAGCAGAGCCTGACCCCCCTACTCTGGCCTTGGGGCTCTGTCCACAGAAACCATAGCACCCCCTCCGACTCCAGTGGGTGGGAAAGGACTTTGGAGAGCCTTTCCCACGTGGTGGGGACAATGAGACCCAGGGCTGCCCGAGGTCACACAGTAACTCGGACTGGGACCCAGGCTTCCTGCTTCTCCCTGCCTGCTCCCAAATGGGGTGATATCATCACAACAGCTTCCACTTTCTGTGCCCCTCCTGGGTGCCCATCCAGGAGGGTGTTTTCCTCATCTCACAAAGCTGACACAAGGAGGCTTGAAGTGCCCCTGTCACCAACGGCGTGAACTCAGAGCTCATCGCCTGCCTCTGGGTCCCCCATCACCCTGCAAGCTGCATTCAGAAAGGCAGGACCCCCTCGTGCCCGGCAGCACCCTCCGAGCGCCTTGACTGACCACTGTCAGTGCAGGGCCAGGATCAGTGGAGGGGAGCATGGCTGGCCCCAAGCTGAATGAACAGGGCAGAGCTGGGAATGGGGAGCAGTCAGGGCCAGGCCTCCCTGGTAACTGGGGTGACCCATAGCCATAGTGCCTGCCCCACCCCCAAGAGTAAATATACCAAGTCATGATGCACGCAACAGGGTGACGGAGTCACCCCTGCAACAGCCCCGCCAAGCAGATGGGATGACCCACCATCCAGAAGAAACTGAAGTGTGTGTGATAGAGGGGGGCATGCTTGCCCCAAACGCGGCGGGTGGGCGTGCGGGCTCCCATTAGGCCTGTCGGATTTCCAGAGCCCCGCTGCCTCCCCATCAGCCCGCCCCCTAGTCCCATCCCCTGGCTGCTCATCCCACACTCCCCAGCTTGGCCAGGGCCGCTTGGGGCCAGGAAGCCTGGGTTGTTCCCACTCCCACCGGCTTTACCAGGTGCCCTGGGCAGGGTCCTACAGTTGCTTCCTGTGCAGTCTGGCCTGGCAGTTCCACTCCAGAATCAAGCAGGGGGTGCTCTAGGGAGCCCCCAAACCAAGGTCCCTCGGTGTAAGGCCACTGGGCACTTCTGCCTCCAACCCACTGCCCCCCAGCATCCCCTCCCAATCCATCCCATTTTCAGGCCACGCACCCACCCATAGGAGCTGGTCTGGCCAGCGGGGGGCGGGGGCGGCTCCGCTCCACCCTGGGGGCCTGGCCCACCTCTGCCCTCCTGCTGGAGCTAGGGAGAAGCCATCCTGAGCAGTAGGGCTGCCACCAGCCTCCTCTGCCCTCGCTGACCCCCACCTGCTCTGTCCCCACACATGCTAGGCTCCACCTGGCCTCCAGACCTTGCTCTGGCAGGTCCCCGCGTGGCATGGCCGCCCCCTCGCCCGGGGCTCCTTCTTGTGGCCCTGCAGCCCCCTGGCCCATGCCAGGCCCCGACGGAGCTGCAAGCCCACACAGCCAAGTACCAGCCCAGAGCTGGGGCTCAGGAAGGGGGTGTGTCCCGTGTCGCTGTGTGTCAGGCTAATCCTGGTGCCCAGTGCAGCCGCGGTGTCCATTCCGTTAACCGGCGGCCTTTTGTTAGGTACGCCAAGATAAGAAGGGGCTGCCCTGAGTCACATTGCTCGGCACAGACTGGCCAACAGGGCACTCGGGCCAGACCTCCCAGTTCCGTTTCACTTTCCTTCCCTCAGGGTCTGGCGAGGTCGCCGCAACCTCCCCCGGCCAAGGCTCCCGCTCCTCTGGGCCCGCAGGGGAGCGCGTGCCCAGCGCCCAGAAGGGGAGCCCAGGCGCAGCGGGTGAAGCGCCTTCGCCTGGGTCACAAAGCCAGCCTCCCTCCCCCGTGCCCCTCCCCGGGCCGAGCCCCCATCCTCTGTGCCCGCGCGCGCAGCCCCTCGGGGCCCGGGCCTCAGTTTCCTAAAAGTGGGGCTACGGGGGTGGCCCGGGGCCCTACGATCGTCCGCCCCCTCGATGCCCCCGCGGCGCAGGCCGCTCCCTCGGGGGTCGGGC